ATGTACACAGATAAATAAATATGTATTTGAATAGTCAGTGGTAGATAGATAGATAGATGTTTGAACAGAGAGAGGTTGATATATAGATAGATATTTCAAACCAACATCGGTAGATATATATATATATATATATATATATATATATATATATATATGGATATGGATAGAAAGATATTTGAACAGACATCCGTAGATGGATAGATATTTCAACAGACAGAATTAGAAGGATAAATATATATGTGAACAGACAGAGGTAGATAGATATACGCATAGATAGATTGATAGCTAGATATTTCAACAGACAGAATTAGATACATACATATTTGAACAGAGATAGATAGATAGATAGATAGATAGATAGATAGATAGATAGATAGATAGATAGATAGATATTGGAACCAACAGATTTAAATAGATACATTTGAATAGATAGATAGGTTAAAATTTGATGATTTATATATATATATATATATATATATATATATATATATATATATATATATATATATATATATATATAGAGAGAGAGAGACAGAGAGATGATATTTGAACAGACAGACGTAGACAGATAAATATTTGAACACGTAAAGGTGGGAGTTATTTGAAAAGATATAAAGAGATAGATAGATATATGAACAGATATATATATAGATATTTGAACAGACGAAGAGTGATAGATAGATAGATAGATATTTCAACAGTGATAGACATAAGGACAGATGGACATTCGAATAGACATGGATACATAGATATGTCAAACGACAGTAGTGCATAAATAGATATTTCAACAGGCAGAGGTAGATATATACAAATTTGAACAGAGAGAGGTTGATAGATATTTGAATAGACAAAGGTAGGTAGATATTTGAACAGACAGAGGGAGGTAGATAGATACTAGAACCAACAGATTTAGATAGATAAATAGATTGGTATTTGAACAGGCAGAGGTAGATACATAGATATTTGAACAGATATAGATAGATATTTGAAAGGGATAAGTAAATAGGTAGGTATTTGAAGACAGGTAGATATCTAGATAGGTATTTGAAGACAGGTAGATATCTAGATAGGTATTTGAAGACAGGTAGATATCTAGATAGGTATTTGAAGACAGGTAGATATATAGATAGGTATTTGAAGACAGGTAGATATATAGATAGATATTTGATCAAATAGGCGTATTTCAACAGAGATATTTGAACAGAGAAAGGTAGATAGACAGATAGATATTTGTTGACACAGAGGTGGATAGAAGGATATTTGAACAGACAGAGGTAGATAGAGGGTACTTAAACATACATAAGTAGATATTTGAAAAGACAAATTTAGATAGATACATAGGTAGAAAAGTAGATATTAGAACAGATAGACGTAGATAGATATGTGAACAAACTGAGGTAGGCAGATAAATATATAGATATTTTAACAGGCAGAGATAGAGACATAGGCATTTGAACAGACAGATATAGATATTTTAAGACTTTGATAGATATTTGTACAGACACAGGCAGATAGATATATAGATAAGTATTTGAAGAGAAAGTAATAGATAAACACGTTTGTACATAGATATTTCAAGAGACATGGGTGGATACGTATTTTGAGAGTGGTAGATATATAGAAAGATATTTGAACCGACAGAGATAGATTGATATTTGAAGACACAAAGGTAGATAGATAGTTAGATATGTGAACAGAAAGAGGTTGATAGATAAATAGATAGTTATTTGAACAAAGAAAGATACATAGATAGATATGTAAAAAGAAAGATATATAGATAGATATTTGCAAAGACAGTTCGATACATAGCTAATTCAATATTTGAACAGAGAGAGATAGATGAATAAATAAATATGTATTCTAACAGTGGTATATAGAAAGATAGATAGATGTTTGAACAGACAGAAGTGGATATGTAAATAGATATTTCAATCGACAGAGGTAGATAGATGTATAGATAGAAATTTGAACAAACATAGTGATAAATAGATATTTGAACAGACGGAGGTGGATAAATATTTGAATAAATAGTGGCAGAACAGTGGAAGTAGAAGGATAAATAGATATTTGAACAGACAGGGATAGATACATATTTGAAGAGATGTTTGAAGACAGAGATAGATAGATATTTGAACAGAGAGATAGATATTTTAAGAGACAAAGGTATATATTTTAACAGAGAGGGGTGGATAGGTATTTGAAACTACAGATATAGATAGATACATAGATAGATATTTGAACAGGTAGAGGTAGAGAGATAAGCATATACTATTTTTAACAGAGGTAGATACATAGATATTTCGATTGATAGATATATGTACAGAGTTAGGTACACACACACACACATATATATATCTATATAGATAGATAGATAAGTATTTGAAGATGCACTGATGTATATATAGATATTTGAGCAGTCAGAAGTAGATACATAAATATTTTGAAGTGATGGGTGGATGGATAGAAAGGTAGGTAGGTAGATAGATATTTCAAGAGACAGAGGTAGATAGATATTTGGAGAGATATAGGTAGATAGATATTTGAACAGATAGATAATGGTAGATAGATATTTCAATATTCAGTGGTAGATAGATATTTGATCAGACAGAGGTTGATAGAGAGATATTTGAACAGACAGGTATATATAGATGGATATTTGAACAGACAGGCAGATAGATAAATAGATATGTATTTGGACAGACAGCGATAGATACATAGATATTTGAAGAGACACAGGTAGATAGATATTTGAACAGACAGATATGTGGAAAGATAGATATTTGAACACTCAGTGAGTATGATAGATAATCTGAACAGAGGTAGATAGATATTCCAGAAGATAGACAGAGATAGATAAATATTTGGACAGACAGAGATAGCTAGATAAGTATATGGACATTTTAACAAAGAGAGATACGTAGATATTTGAACAAACAGGGGACGATAGATATATAGATAAGTATTTGAAGAGACAATGATAGATATTTAGATAGAAATACATAGATATTTGAGCAGATATAGATAGATATTTGAAAGTGAGAGATAATTTGAACAGACAGAGATAGGTATTTCAAGAGACGTGCGGATATATAAATAGATAGGTATTTGAACAGATTTAGACAGATAAACAGGTATTTGAACAGACAGAAGTACCTTGAACAGACATGGATGGATGAATAGAGAGATAGATAGATAAAAATATTTGAACAGACGACATTAGATTGAGAAGTAGATATTTGAACAGAGAGGTAGATAGATTCTGTAGATATTTGAACAGACAGATGATGATGGGAAATTTGACAGTGGTAGATACATAGCTAGATAGATAGGTAGACAGTTATTTAAAAAGAAAGATGTAGTTAGCTATTTGAACAGATAGAGGTAGCTAGATTCAATAGATAATTTAACAGACGGATGTAAATATATAGATAGATATTTGAATAGACGGACTTAGAAAAATAAGTACATACATACATAGATATTTGGACAGAGATAGAGGGATAAATAAATAGAAAGATAGATATTTTAAAACAGAGACAGATAGATATTTGAGCAGACAAGGGTAGATAGACACATACATATATACATACATATTTGAACAGACATAGGTAGATATTTAATTAGTTAGATAAATCATTACCGAATTAAATAGATAGATATATATTTGACCATCAGAAATTTAGATAGAGATATATTTGAACAAACAGAGGTAGGTAGGTAGGTAGATAGATAAATTGATTAATATATATTTGACAGTAGTAGATAGATATTTCAACAGAGATAGCTATCTCGATAGATATTTGAACAGACAGAGGGAGATAGATTGATAGACAGGTATTTGAACAGACAGATACATAGATATATAGACATTTGAACAGAGATATATAGATATATGAAAAGACAGAGGTAAAGGGATAAATAGATAAATAAATAGAACGATAGATATTTTAAAACAGAGGTAGTTACATACATACATATATACATAGATATTTGAACTGACAAAGGTAGATATAGAGATAGAAACTTGGACAGAAATGATAGACAGAAACATAGATGTTGAACAGTTACACATAGGTAGATAGATTTTGAACATACATACATATTTAGATATTGAACAGACACGTAGATATATATTTGAACTGACATAAATACATTGAACTGACCTAGGTAGATGGATATATAGACATATGAATAGGCATAATTAGATTGATAGGTAAATATTTAAACAGACGGAGATAGATATTTGAAAATACAGAGGTAGATATATAGATAGATTTTTGAACAGACAGAGGTAGATAGATTCGACAGTTATTTGAACAGGCAGACGAGGATAGACAGGCAGATAGTTAGCTAGTTATTTGAATAGACAGTAGTAGATAGATATTTTAACATATTTTAAAACAGATATTTGAGCAGACAGAGGTAGATAGATACATATATATATACATAGATATTTGAGCAGACATAGGTAGACGGGTAGTTAAATAAATAGCTAGCTAGCTAGCTAGTGAGATATATAGATAAACAGATAGATGTTTGAGTAGACAGAGATAAATTTGAACAGACAAATAGATAGATTGATAGATATTTGAAAAGACAAATAGGTACATATGTGAACAGACAGAGGTAGACAGATAAATAGATATGTATTTGAACAGAGTTAGATACACAGATATTTGTACAGGCAGTGGTAGATAGATATTTGAACAAAGGGAAATAGATATTCGAACAGCAACAACATGATCAAATATTTGAACAGATTTTGATAAATCAATCCATTTAAACAGAAATTTGGAAAGTTAGAATAGTTAACAAAAAAGATATGTCTATACATACATAGATATTTATTAAAGACATATTTTATGTTTAACGTTGTTATTTTATAGATACAAGTATTTAAGCAAATGCTCTGTTTATGATAAACAGTATTAAATAACATTTACCGGCCTGAATGTCCAAGAAATTTTCATAGAAAATTTTCGTTCTTTGACAGGATTCGAACCTGCATCCTATACGGAACCGTCATATACGCTGACGTGCCTTACCGCTTAGGCTACAAAAGAACCGTTCGGTAGACAAGGTCGAATTTACTGCTTATAAACTCCAATTTTCCATGAATCTCGTACATTCATAACTGCTCTGGCGTATCGAATGTAAACAAATGATATCATATATTAAGAAATGGACAAGGTCCGACAATTTATTTATTAAAGACATTTTTTATGTTTAACGTTGTTATTTTATAGATACAAGTATTTAAGCAAATGCTCTGTTTATGATAAACAGTATTAAATAACATTTACCGGCCTGAATGTCCGAGAAATTTTCATAGAAAATATTCGTTCTTTGACAGGATTCGAACCTGCATCCTATACGGAACCGTCATATACGCTGACGTGCCTTACCGCTAGGCTACAAAGAACCGTTCGGTAGAACAAGGTCGAATTTACTGCTTATAAACTCCAATTTTCCATGAATCTCGTACATTCATAACTGCTCTGGCGTATCGAATGTAAAAATGTCATATATTAATACTGTATACAATTTATTTATTAATCAAAATTCGTTTATAAAAATATTATTTATAAATACATTATACGAAACATAAAAATGTCTTTAATAAATAAAGACCTTGTCCATTTTTAAATATTTATGTTATATAAATATATTTATATATATATATATATTTAAATACAGTTTTAAATAAATATTGATAGATGTTTGAACAGATAAATAATAGATATATATTGATATATATGCTAAGTAGATGAGGGATGTATATTATAAACGGACAATAAACAAATATAGAAAGATTTTTAGAATAGTCAGTGTTTAGAAAATATTAAAATATTTTTTTTTTATAGAAGTTTTTAGATAAATGAAATATTTTTTATAGAAATATATATATATATATATATATATATATATATATATATTATATATATTACAATAAACGTAAATCAATTTACAAATACATGAATTATTCATAAAATTTTTTTTTTTTCAAAATTAATGATTTAAATGGAATAGACATCCATTCAATCAAAACAATTCAAATAATGTATAAAAAAAATCCATCATGATTTATAATATTAAATGAATTGATTCAACATTTATATATTTTTAGATGAGGTATTGTAATTATTTATATTTTTTGAACATACAAGATGAAATCTTTTACTGTCAGACATCATTTCATGTATAGAATAATAATTTTTTCAGGTAATAATTCTTCAAACTGAGCAAATTTAGTAAAATTTTTAGTAGAGAAAAATAAAAATGGATACATACCAATGCCTTTGGATAATTTTTTTAATTTATTTTTATTTTTAAAAAAATATATGTTGGTTTTAAGAAACTCACAACTCCAGTCTTTGGATTTAACCAATGCTCTTTATATACTGGGTCATATGGGACAATTTAAAAATCTGGGAGAATAATTTAATTGTTGTCTATTTAAAAACCAATTTTTTTTAAAGAACTTATATTACAGTTTTTCACTTTCTAATTTTTCATGTCATTTTTTGTTGTTTTTTTAAATCTCTAGCTGATTTTATATTTTGATCCAAAAATAAATTGATATAAAGGAGTTATGTATTCAGTCTGAAAAAGTTATACAAGGCAAATTAGAATGATGAGATATTTAAAGGCATACATATTTGATAGATATTTGAACAATAATTTGATGACTAAACAGATATTTGAACAGTTCATGTTTGGAGATAGAACATTTGAACATTGATAGATATAATTGTTTGAATAGACATTTTTTTTGATAAATACATAGTTAAATGAACAGAGGTAGATAGTAATGTTATAAATATATATATTAAAAGATATAAAACAGATTCTCCTATATTTCAAGATGAGAATTATGTACAGTATTAACATTACTCGGACTATTGTCCTCATCTTTGTCGCCGGTTTTTGTCAAACGTTTTAACACAGGCTTAATTTGGGACCAGAGAAAATCTCTCTTCAGGTCGTTTAGACTCATAGATCAACATATTTAAAGAGACGGATAAAATTATGTCTGTTGAGGTTATATATATAATTATTTATTTAAAAATATGATTCCAACAACACTACATAAGAGTTCTCATGTAGCTTTCTTATGAAAACTTCAATATAATTATTTGAATTAAATTTAATAATTATTTTAATTATTTTTGTAAATATGTCAACTATTTTTAAAAAATAATGTCTTCAAAATTACTAAAGAACTTGTCCAAAATTATTTAATCTTTAACGAGTTCTTTCCTATTTTCTAATAGGCAGACACAATATATATATATATATATATATATATATATAGTCTGTCATCAAATCCAGAAATCTGATTAACTTAGACGGAATCGAAATTCGACCGATTTGGCTTTAGTCAAAGATCCTACCTCACTTGGCTCGGCATTTAAAAGAAAATGGACATTTTCATTCAGTTTTTTAGAAATGGTTGTAAATAATCAACTCACAAATTGTACTTGAATATAAAAAATAAATATATATATATATATAAAATATATATATATATATATATATATATATAGTTATATATAAGATTTTGAGAGAGAGAGTTATTTTGAACAGACAGATGTTGATAGATATATATTTGAACAGACACAGATAGATATTGAAGGTAGAGATAGATTTTGAACAGAGACAGTTAAATAGATTGATATCGAACATAAATGGATTACACACATAGAAGGAAATATAAGTAATTGAAAACACAGTTTAATCGATGGATTGATAAAACTCGTGTTGATAAACAGACATATATATAGATTGTTTTTAGAATTTTCCATTTGAACTGATATAAATTTTGCGATGGATAAATTGCATCTAAATTACGTAAAAATGTAAATTTTAACTAACAGCTCAGCATCTCTTCATAGCGGTTTCCTTATTTAGGTTGGTGAATGAATTTTTAATAATCTTTAGGAAATTTCATTATTATATCTCCGCTCAATTGACAATCCATTATAATATGGAAGCCGTTAGAACAGTCTAAGTTAGATGTCCAAAATAAAGGGTGATCAATTGCAAAATTGTCACAGCTATAAACTGGATTCACCTATTTTTTTGATGGAATGGTTGATTCTTGTTAAAAGAAAGTTTTTTCCATCTTCACCCTCTGATCAAAACAGCACTAATCATTTAAAGCACTGTTCATCAGAAATACCAGTACCCTGATATTGGGTATAAAGTAACGCAGGCCGATATTTGATTTGCGTCAAAATTTCTTTAGTCAAGACGTTACTAAAAATATAAATTGAATTGAACAAAATTTTTGTTGATACAATAAAAAAAAGAATATAAAAAAGGCGACAATTTAGTTTTGTTGAAATGGAAACTAATGATAATAAATAGATCAATATTAGATATACATAGATAGATAGATAGATAGATAGAGAAACGAAAAATGGTTAAACAGATGTAAATAGTTGGGCATAAATATAGGTGAAAATTAATTTGAACTGAAATAGTTGAACATATATAGTTAGGTATTTGATCAAAGATAGATACATATTCATAGATAGATAGATACATATTCATACAGAAAGAAATTGGAAAGAGATTTAAACAGACTGAAAACAAATGGGTAGATAATAAAGATGAAAGACATAGAGATGAATAGAAATAAATTTTTATACATTGAGTCTAATAGTTAAACAGACAGTTCAGGCAAAGACAAAAACGAACAGATATTGTAAAAAAAATTTATTGAGATGCCAAGTTGAAAAAAAAAACTTTATATATATATATAGTTATATTTGAACTGATATAGATAGATATATAGATATATATTTGAACAGACAGACTATTTTGAAGATATTTTTTAATTTTTTCGAACAGATAGATGGATAAGTATTGAATATTTTAGATAAAGATATTTGTAGTAGATTCAAAGATTGATAGATATTTGAACATCTGTACAGAGATAGTGATTAGCACACATATATATCATCATCTGAATAATTTTGGATAGCGGTTCAATGTCATTGCCTGGCCTCAAATCCTTCCATGTCTATTGAATTTCAGTCGAGGTTCATTAGATAAATCAGGATATGGTTTGCTACTTCTTTATTACTACTGTACTGATGCGGCATTCACCTGTCTTAAATTGAGCCGGCTTCTTCCTGTTATGAGAAGAAGATTCTTGGGATAAATTACTGAAGTATAGGGTACCCAGGCCTACTCGGATAACGTTCTTGCTTGTTGGGGGTTCCCACAGACGAGAGACAGGAACGACCAGAAAGCCGCCGGTTACCGATCAGACGCTCCTTGGATTTTCACCAGAGCCCATTGTTAGCCGGCGTGTGTGTCAGACCTGTATTTTTGGTGGCCCTACCAGGAACGAAGTTTCGGGCGGAGTTAGCTCTGACACTACTGTTTACACCCCCCACCGACTGTGTTTGTAGGGTTTTTTGGGGACTTACAGTACCAGGTGTGTGATAAGCGTCCCCATCTCTACTCAAGAAAACGCTGCTTAACTTCGGTGATCGTACGAGAACCGGTGTTTAAAACAACAAACAAAACCACTTGAAAGGTACTACTCAATTTTTTTTTTAAATTTTTATCCCAGCCAATTTAGCAGTCACACAAGGTTCTATTTATTGCCTTGGATGGAAAAAAACATGAAAAAATCTATGGTTAGTTCAATGAATTATTATTTTTTACCTTCACTATAATCAAATAATTTTTGCTATTTATATTTGTAACTTGGTTTTATATCTGGGATAATTTTCAGATGACCAGGGAATTGTCTGTCCACCATATATATATATATATATATATAAACATTGAATAACATGGTGAATAGATTTTAGATATTTCCCAGGACTAAAATATATAGGTAGGTAGATAGATAGATATTTATAAGAAAAGATAAATTGTTTTCAATCAAACTGATCTCCGACCATTTTGGTTTTTGAAAATTTTATATATATATATATATAAATATATATATATATATATATATATATATATATATTAATCT